TGTTGCCTGCAGCTTTCCTCAGCAGACATTTCACACTCCTAGCACCTCCAACTTCCTTGAGTCTCCATTGAAACTTGGGCTTCTCCCTCACAACTTCATGTCTTACCTTCTCAGGGCTACATAAAGGGACTCCAACCCTGTCTCACATTGCCTGGCCTCTCAGGCTTTTCTTTGAAATCTGGGTGGAAGCCTCCATGATCCTGTAACTCTCATTCAGTATGCTTGCAGAACCAGCATCACATACATAATGCCAAGGTTGGCTGTCAGCTCAAGCAGTAGCTGGGCCCCTTTGGACCATGGTACAGTGGCCTCTGAGTGCCTGGTGGTTCAACTGGGAAAACACTTCCCTAGGCTGCCCAGTGCACGTAGAGTACCCCAACACTCTGTTCTAAAGGAAAGTCTTTCAAACAGCTTTACATGCTTGACTGTGCAATGACTGGGGTCTCACTGTTTCCTGGGGCCCCAGGCATCTTTCCTATTGCCCCACTGAAAAGTACTTGGTGGTTTCTCCTCCTCTTCCTCCTCCTTCACATGTGGTGTGGGGTTTGAACTCAGGGCCTTGTGCTCACCAGGCAGGTGCTTTACCACTTTAGCCACACCCTCAGTCCTTTTTGGCTTTAGATATTTTTTGAATAGGGTCTTGCATTTATGCTTGGGTGGGCCTGGACCTTGATTCTCCTATTTACTCTTCCTATGTAGCTGGGATGACAGGCATGTGCCCCACGTCCAGCTTTTATTGATTTAGATGAGATCGCATGAACTTTTTGTTCTGGCTGTCCTCGAACTGTGATCCTCCCCATCTCTGCTTCCCAAGTAAGTAAGATTACAGGGATGAGCCACCACACCTGGCGTTGGCTTCTTTTTAATGGCATTAATCTCTTTAACAACCTCAATTTCCTTGGCCCCAACTTTACACATGCTTCTTTTCTGGCCAAATTGCTAGATTTAAAAATCTTTTTCTCTGCTTTTTGTTCTAAATTGTCACTTAAACCTGGCTAAAAGCAGCTGGCAAAAACACACCACAACCTGAATGCTGGGATACCTTAAAATCTTCTCTACCAGATTAATTAGTACATCACCTTTAAACTCAGCCTCCCACAAAGTCTAGGGCATGAACAATAGGTAGAAAAGTTCTTTGCCACTATGTAACATGAAAGGTTTCTAGACCAGTTCTCAAAAGAGTCCTTCCTCATTCCTATCTGAAACTTCATGGGCATAAACTTACTGCCCACATTCCTATCAGCCTTCTGATCTGAACTCCCACCAGAATTGCTCATTAAACTCTGCTTGCAGCTTTCTAAATTTTCTGTAGCCCATGTCCATGAATCATTTCCAAAGGCTCTGAACCACATTGTCAGTTAGTCACAGCAATGACTACCAAAATTTTCTGTTGACTTCTGTTGCTATGACAAATACTTGAGAGAAACAAGTTAAGGGAGTAAAGATTTAGTTTGGCTCACAATTTCAGAGGTCTCAGCCTGTGGTCACATGGCTCCGTGTTTCCGGGCCTGTGGAAGGCAAAGCAATATGGTGGAGAGGGCACAGTGGAGCAGAGCTGATCACCTCATGATGGCCAAGAGGCAGAGAAGCGTAATAAGACGGTACCAGTGCTAAGATGTACCCTTCAATGACATACCCTTCAAAGGCACATCCCCAGTGATCCACCTCCTCCAACTAGGCCCTACTTTCCACAGTTCTACCACCTCCTAGTAGTCTACTCAGATTTTTAATTCATCCATGAGTGAAGCCATTGATATAGTCAGAGCCCTTATTATCCAGTCACTTTTCCCAAAGTCCCACCTCTGAACACTGCTTCACTGGGAACCAAGCCTTTCAATACATGAGCCTTATTCAGGGGATACTTCATATCCAAACTAAAACACTCGTGTACACTGTTATTCTTCCAGCAATATTAGGACCCTCAGCTACTCACTCTTGAGTACTCTGAGAGCTGGCCCTGAGTTCAGGTCAGATGACTGACCCCTGCATTTGGACACAGACCAATTCTTCTATTTGAGAAGTTGGTAAATAAACCAAGGGTAGTGAATGACATCCAGGGTGACAGATAATTCTGCCACAGGGGAAGAAAACACTACTCACGGGATGAGGTCCTAGGGGGCATCACTGTGATACCTGTTTGCATCTCTGCCGTCCCTTTCTAATTTATTCATCCCACAAATTGTCAGTAACCATTTCCAGCACGTAAGCAAGGCACATAGGTGATCCAGCAATGGACCTGAAGGAGTCGATCATTTAATGTGGGGAAGAGAGGCAGTGTGCACATTAATCAGTGAGAGAAGGATCATAACAGTGATGTCAGCAGAGTGCCTTCCACATGGTCATTGCTAGCTGGGAATTGAGAGATGTCCTTGGGAAAACCTTCACCCCAGAACCAATCCTAAATTCTAAAGAGTGTTAGAGAACCAGATGCGTGAGCTGTTAGTTCCTCCATGCCATTTACGAAGATGTAAGATGCTTTGAGTTCATTGCCACAAGAGAGTAGCAACTGAAACAAAAAGGATTTCTTTGAAAATAAAGCAAAGCTGTTTGCTGTCAGTTTCCGTACTGGCCATTGCCAGACCAAAAATGCATTCCTCACCCCTGCTGGCTTGCCATATCACAACTCCAGGGTGTGAAGTGCAATTGTAGCCCTGCCCTCACTTGCTTGGATAGGTACTTTGTATGGCCAACAATCAATACAGATAAATATAATTGGGAATGCTTGCAAGAAACTTTTCTTCAGAGGAATTGAATCCTGCTTATTTAAACAGGATCATTTCTTTTTTCTACTCTTCATTTCTGAAGTTTTAATTTCTTGCAGTACTTGAGTTCTTAGCTCGATAGGATATTCTACCAATGGTTTTTTGTTGGCGAATACTGTGAAAGATTGTCAGGATCTTTAACTTCTTCATTCTCATACAATCACAGGGGACAGGGCATTGGAGATAATAAAATTCTTTGGTTTCTTGGAGATTTTATGAATGGAGAGGAAATCAGATATTACAGGAAATCTCTAAGAAGATAGGAGACAACAGAGGAGGAGACTGGATGCCCTGAGTGTTTTGGGGGGTTGATGTATATGGGATCCTTTGATCACGTTTATGCAGGAAGCTACCTAAGTTGTGATTGGTATCTGTGCATTTTACATGTAGTTCATATCAATTGTGAAACTTAGCTTGGGTTTGCTTTCAGCTCCTAAATTTAATAACCACACCTCTAATTTATGTTCACCATTTGAAAGGTTTTCATCTGTCTCATGCTTGTAGTAAGAAATTACTTAAAATAGCAAAGATGGTAATTGGAGAGAACACTCAAAGGGACACTGGTACTTCTGGAATTGGGCGAAGCACATTTTATGGCATGTAAGATTTTTTGCAGGTGTGCTGGGTTTGGAGGACTATCTGTAGAGACATTTGGTTGCCATGCACAGTGTTTTGAGATCTAGTGGCTGAGGAAAGTCCATATCACAGACCAAAGAGGGTGACCAGCTCCTCAGCCTCCCCCAAACAGCCAACACTTTTCTTGCAGAGAATTATTTGCCTCTCTGACGATGGCAATCAATGAGTTAGAAACTGATTAAACAATCCAAGTAGCAACTGATAAATGGATTAACCCTCTGTAATGTAATTCTGCTAGCTTTTGTCTTCCGCCTTCCCCAGGTAAGTTTTCTATTCCTGGAGGCAAAGCAAAGGCATGGAGGAAAGCGAAGGCCAGAGGGAATCATATTAAAGTGGGTGAATCCGTTTATCATTTACTGTCTGGCTGGTATTTCTGCTCACATATCTGCTTCCTTTTACAGATTTGCACCCTGTGAGACCCTGATTAACGTTAGCCAGTGAATAATGAAAGATTGCAGCAGACCTTGGGGATCCTGAGAAGGAAGATTCCCTGGTGGTTAAGGCTGATCCCACAAATGGAAAGACTTCTTTTTCTTTTTAGTCACAATCAGGGAGCATGAATGTGACAGAGAAATGTCCAAATTAGGGAGAGAGAAACACAGGAAAATGGAAGCATTTCTCCCCTGCAAGTAACCTGTCCAAGGCTTTTCAACCAGTCCCTACAAATTGAGAATGATTTGAGTGCTCAAAGACACGAGCTGTTCCCTTAAGGCTTTGTTTTCAAGGTCATGTCCCAAGGTTTTTCTTTGCCTTTGTTTAAGGACTTCAGCAGGGATAGGTTATAGGGTTAGTGTAGTCAGTTACGTGTGAGGGTCTTAAGTCTAAACCCAGGCTCACTAACTTACCATTTGACCCATCTCTGGCAGGATTCTGAGCTAAGCATCTAGTAAACCTGATTGCAGTTCTGATTCTAGGCACTTGGGGACTGCAGATTAACTTGTCCTAGTGTTTTTCATGATCTACGAGTCTGGACTTCGGGGTATAGAGGATGAATGAGAACACATACCTGTGTTCCTGTCAAGATGCTCAATAATGTCCCCAAACTTTCTCCTGTGACTTCATGAAAATGACCAGCCACTGATCCATCCTTCCTTCCTCTCTCCCTCCTTCTATCCCTCCCTCTCTTAGGGGCAGGAGGAATATATCCTAAATAAGAACATCTTTCCAAATGCTAGGTCCAGCCATTGGCCATTCTCTCCCTCTAGTCACCACTGTTTATGGTTTCCATCTGATGTGTGGGTCCTTGGCTTGGAGGGCTGATTAGTTGTACAGGGTTGCAAGAAGTTCACTTGACTAATAATCGTTCAGGATAGTCAGTTCATCTAGAGATGCAATCAGAGGAGCAAGGTGGTTTCTATAAAAGAGTAGAACTGGGGGACATTGCAAAAATCAAACTCTGGAAGAATTGCAAGGCATTAGTAGCATTGAACCAAGAAGGATCAAAAAGAAAATCTTAGTATCACAACTTGGTTGTAACAAAATCGTACGTTCTAAACTTCATATTCTTTCTGGAGTCAATTCTGCTACATTGTGGGAGGAGAAGAAGGGGCAGTAGGAACACATCTCAGCCTAAAATTGGAATTTTTTTTAATGTTTCCACAGCCCAGAAAGGACCAGATGGGACAGTCATTCCCAATAACTACTGTGACTTCTGCTTGGGAGGCTCTAACATGAACAAGAAGAGTGGGCGGCCTGAAGAGCTGGTGTCCTGTGCAGACTGTGGACGCTCTGGTGAGTGTGGCCCCTTCCTGCATTGCGTGCCCACAGACCAGGAAGGCTTCCACTTGCATTTCTCCTGCCATCTCGTGGTGGTGGGGTAGGAAAGTGGAGTGGTGATGACTTTGAGTGGAGAGGGCTTGTGTCTGGCCTTTCTATGGGGTGAACATTACTTTGTGTGTGTTGCTGTGGTCACTAGTGAGATAGAGTAGAAATACCTGGAGACAAAGGCAAAAGGCTTTCTTGTTTGGATGATGCACATGTAACAAAAAGATGTTTGTTCTGTGGAAGTATCTAGGGCAACCTGGGGAGTATGGAAACATGAATATTGGAAAAACAGCCACATCTTGAATTGTGGGAATCAGAGACCTCTGGGTTCCCGGGTGGTGGCATAAGCATGCCACTTCCATTGGCCACTCATCTCATTTTTCATGTGGGACAGAAAAAAGAATACTTACAAATCAAGCAGGCACAAGGACAGGCATTCCTGGGGCTAATCTGGAGTTGACTTGGCTTACTGTTGTCACATTTAACCTATCCACAGACTGAAATAGTAACAATACATTTCCTTCATTCTTCAGATGAGTTCAGGTCTTTGTTGTGGTTTTGGTTTTCAGCTCTAACCAAACCATTTATTTTTGCCTGAACATGGTTCATTGCCGCTACCATTTTCCTATTGTTTTATCTCATAACTAGACTAAAGCAGACAGTAGGGAGGAGAGAGGATTTCAGACTCATCTTTAGTCTTAGCAACTGCTGACTAGTAAGTGAAACATTTGGCTTGGGTGGTTGGTTCCAGCATGAGGAGTCATTTCTCCTACTGCCTTTTCATCCACTATCATTTCCATTATTCCCAAGAGGACAGAGATGACCACATTTTGGTTTGCCATAGTGACTCAGATCTTTCTTGCCAGGTCTACAGATCTTACCTTGAGCCTTTTTATGTTTTGTTGCCAGGATTGTTTAGGGTTCAAGACTTCCTTGAATTGCAAACCAGTAATTGGAAAGGGACTTGGCCTCCATTACACACAGCCCTCAACATTTACCTCTCAAGGGCCCTGCCAGCATGTCCTTTTTGCATAGTTCTGTCAATTAATTTTTAGACCAAACATGATACCTTATGTTGAACTTTTTACTCTACTAGTGCCAACTTCTGAGATGGGGCCCTTGTGATACTGGACTCTGGTTTTTAGATATTTGTAAAGAAAATAAAACAAATGAAATTAAACTCAGTGTTATTTAAGAGCAAGCAATCAGTCAATCTCCACTGCCAGAAGCAAGGTCACATGGTAGAGGGATGCTCTAAGCAGGGTGCACGGACTGCTGTAGGCTTGGATGGGTTAGAGAAAGCAAACTGCTATAATTTCCCCCTTTTCTGTCCTACAAAAGATGGGGTGCTTGAATCTGTTGAATCTGATCTATGAGCATCAGAAGTGGGAAGTTGGTTATTTCTACATCAAGCCTCTTTCCACAACCTTCGTTCAGGTTCTGTCTGCTACGTGCTTCAAGGGTCATTTTACACCAGCCTAGATATTCTCACTGCAATTGCTGATGATTAATTTTGGTGGCTTACTTAGTCAAGGTCTGACTCGGAAGTTCCTGAAATAGTTGATACCTTGGGAAAGCACAGGTGGCATTAGCCCACGGGGTGTGCCTGTTAAGGCAGGTGGGTGGATATTTCTCCGGGGCCTCCCCAAGGTCCTTTCCGAGAAGTATTAGCCTGAAGAGCTGCCTTTTCCTTCCCATCCACCCCATTGCCTCTGTTTCCTGGGAGAAAGTGGGGTGTCTAAAATTGCTACCAGAAGAGGTGCACTACCGCCTTGTGGGGAGGCATCTCGGGACCTGGGAGAGTGTGAGCAAGGTTCAGCCTGAGTTTTACAGATTTCAGGAGACTGTAATTTATTAGGTTTCTTAAAACTCAATTTTTCATCTTCTTAGTGTTGTAAGTTAGATTTGATAATCCAAACTTTCTGGAATAACCAAGATTTGGACATATTTAGTGGTGTGGGGTGTGTGTGTGTGTGTGTGTGTGTGTGTGTGTGTGTGTATACCTACATGTGGAGTATAGATCACAGAAATTTCCTCCAGTGGTTAAAAAAATGAGAAACTCTTTTATTACCTACCACTTATCAGATTTTCCAACTTCTTTTTGCTTTCAGTGCAAATGAACTACATGGTGTCAGGGTAGAATTGAAAGGGTTCTGAAAGAATGGGATTAGAAGCAGGTAAAAATAAAAATAAAATGGATGGAGGTTTAACCACTTGAATGGGTTATCTGACAGTAATACCTTTGTAAAGCTGACTGTCAAAGTGACAGACAAACATTGTTCAGAGGCACATCAATGGAAAACACCAAAGAAATACCAACGAGGCTTAAAACCCACTGAGAAAAACCACTGTGTGGGGCAGGGGAGGGAGTGTGCACATGTCTGTGTGCATGCGGGAGAGAAGGGCGGTCATGCCTGCACCGCTTGCTGTCGGAAGCTGTGGACATAAGTGTTATGGTAGGGATGAGGCCTTTTAGGGGAGGGGGCATCCTCTTCCCTGCAAATGTGTGCTTTGTCTCAAATCCCTGTCACCAGGTTATGTACCTGCTTAGTCCCGTTTGGTGTGACCCTGGTTGATTATCTTGCTCTTAGGAATAACATGTAATGACGTAATGAGAGTATTGATGCTGTCTGTTGCTTAACCCATGTGCTGATATATTCATCATACATGTCAGCTCATTTGGGAGGAGAAGGCAGGAAGGAGAAGGAGGCAGCAGCCGCAGCACGCACCACGGAGGACTTATTCGGTTCCACGTCAGAAAGTGACACCTCAACTTTCCACGGCTTTGATGAGGACGATTTGGAAGAGCCTCGCTCCTGTCGAGGACGCCGCAGTGGCCGGGGCTCACCCACAGCAGATAAAAAGGGCAGTTGCTAAGCCCACGGGACAGATTGTTTGGCCAATTAGCCACCCCCTCTGACTCTGGTCATTGAGAGTATTGATGCTGTCTGTTGCTTAACCCATGTGCTGATATATTCATCATACATGTCAGCTCATTTGGGAGGAGAAGGCAGGAAGGAGAAGGAGGCAGCAGCCGCAGCACGCACCACGGAGGACTTATTCGGTTCCACGTCAGAAAGTGACACCTCAACTTTCCACGGCTTTGATGAGGACGATTTGGAAGAGCCTCGCTCCTGTCGAGGACGCCGCAGTGGCCGGGGCTCACCCACAGCAGATAAAAAGGGCAGTTGCTAAGCCCACGGGACAGATTGTTTGGCCAATTAGCCACCCCCTCTGACTCTGGTCATTGCTCTGTTTCTGATATATATATATATGTATATATATATATGTATTATATATATATATATATATATTTTTTTTTTTTTTTAATGAAAGACAACTTAGATTTTCCCTTTATCCTTGCTTTTTCCTCCCACCTTCCTTGTGCCCCTTACCCCACTATCCCTTTATTTTGGGTATATACAACTGAAGCACAAACTACTGAAACAAAAAACAAAACAACAAAAGAGCAGAGTGAGAGTTCTTCAGAGAGATGGCATCATGATGTGCTATTTATTTTCCCTAGAAATAGGAAGCTAGTCAGATTTTCTCTTTGTTGGGTGGAGGGGATCTTTGTGATATGAGCAGAGTTGAATTCCTCAGTTTTCATATTTATTGGCAAAATGAAGAGAAGAGGAATACTGGTTTGGAAACAGAACCAATAACATTAAAATTATTATTTATATATGCTAGCTATTATTAGAGTCAGACTTTTTTTGGAGAGAGAGAAGGGAAATCAAAGAAATCAAAGTAATATCCTGTTTAGCAGCAGGCCACTGGGGGGGAGAGTTTCCTCAATGGGAGATGACTGCCCCACAGAGCTGGCAGCTCCCCATGGCAGACCCCTCCCCATGTCTCCTCCCTGACCTTTCCATCTTCCTCTCTGCTTGAGAGAAAATGGCAGCAGTCCCAGAGAAGCCTGGCTGCCTATGTCTGGCCTCCCTCCAGCGCCATCCCTGACCAGCAGTGGCCTCTTCCTGGGGCTCCTCCTCCGCTCAGCAGAGCTGCTGTTTCCTCCTTGCTGGCTCATCCACACATTCCTCCTGGTGAAGAGCAACTTCCAAATGCAGGAATGGAATATAAGTGAAAATCAAGGGCTCAGCAATGACAAAGCAACCTGAGGCCGCGCTCACGGAAGGAAGAGTGACACAGTGAATCCCCTCCCCTCACCCCTGTTTAAAAACATCTAACTGCCTATGGATGATCAAGCCTCCTACATTTCTTCTATTTTTTTATAGTGCCTGCCAGGCACTTTGTTTTATGTTTCCAATAGCATCTCCTGAAATAAACCAAAGCAACTCTTGCTCAAGGTCCCGGGGATGGCGACCGTCCACCTCACTGGCAGTCCCAGCAAACAGCTGCGAGGCCTGGCTCAAAAGGTACGTCCTGGCTCGCCTGTCTCACCCAAGGGCAAAACCATCAGAGTTTTGGTTTGTTCGTTTCAGTTTTCTTTGTTTTTCTTTTTCCTTTGGTTCCCCATAGCTTGCTCTTTTATTTTGCTGGATTTCCTCTCCTTAGTGTGGGAGTGGCAACCGGAGTGTCCTCTGCCTGGCCCGTGGTGGCCTGTGTGTGCATGCGTACCCATGTGGGCCTGGGTCTAGGTGTGGGGCTTGAGGCTTGCTTTGGCTATGGGAGGGGCTCTGTGTAGAGAAACTGGCTGGGGAAATGCTTGGCTGACTCTCTGTCCTTTGCCTGAACATAGAAGTGGAGTCCAGGGAATGGAGGTTGGAGTTGGCTGTTGGCCTTGGGTAGGGACAAGGTGTAGCCACGGGGCATTGCATGGCCAGGGTATCAGTTTCGCAGCCAAGGGGATGAGCCCAAGTTAAAGAAGATCCCTGGTTAGGTACAACACTCACTAGGATGATTGGAAGATTCTGAACTCCTATGAAGCGTGGGTCTCCAGCCTCCATGAGAACACAGGCCATGTGACACGGATTGGGTGATCCACATGGCTGCCTAGGCAACAGGCTGCTTGTACAGGTCTGAGGAGATCTGCTGAGACCACCCAGCCTTTGCAAAAACCCCTGAATTAGATGCTCATTGACTTCACACGTCAACCCACCAAAAGCAAAAACATGCAGATTAAACCACAAATGGACCCTTCCTGCTCCCCTGGGAGCCTGAGACAGAAAGGGCTTCCACGCTCTCCTGTTTCAGATGGGCACAAGTGTGCCTGGGCATCGCTTTGGGTTTAGAGAGAGTGAAAGTAACAGCCCCACTCACTGTTCAGGTGCTCTGCCTGATCTCTGCGTGGTCCCATTCCTAGGGACTATGGCATAAGCCTCCAGTGTGGTGGTAGTCCTGCTTGCTCACACGTGTGAATGCCACAACACAGTTGGTTCTAGTAGGTTCCTGCCGAGGGGACACAACCTGCTCTTGTACGTTCCACCTCTTCACTCTGTTTCATTGATTCAGATATTAGATTCATAGCTTATGACTTTCCGTGGTGAAATGTGAGTTTCTTTGTTAATAAAAGTATGTTCAATCCACATGATCATTTGAACTTCGTCTTGGAGTTCATGGTCCTGCAATTATCAATGATAACTTGACTTTGAACTTGGGATTTAAAAAAAAAATCCTAATTAAAACAAATTATTGAAAGGCCACCTAATTTCTGAGTCTAGCTTATGGTTCCAATGAAGAATTTAATACCAGGAAAATATTTCTCTGAGGATGAGTATTGCTTGATTTTTAATCTCTCTTGCTAGGGGTAGAGACGTCCTCACCTCTCTCTGTTGGTATAGCCAATTTGGGCCTAGCGGTGCCACTGAGCATTGCCTGAGCATCTTGTCTCACATTCCTTCTAGAATCTTTCAACAGAAACAGAATTTATATTATTTAAAAAAAAAAGAAATATAAGAAGCCTTTTTTTTTTTGTATGATACTGGGGCTTGAAATCAGGGCCTTGCACTTGCTAGTCAGGTACTCTACCACTTTTTGTTTTAGTTTTTTTTTTTTAAGTAAAGATTCACTTTTATGCTCAGGATAGACTAGACCACGACCCCCCTATTTATGCTCTCCACATTGCTGGGGTGACAGTCATGTACCACTGTGCCCAGCTTTTTATTGGTTGAGATGGGGTCTTGTTAACCATTTGCCCCAGCTGATCTCAAACTGTGATCTCAGCCTCCTGAATAGCTAGGATTACAGACATGAGTCATTGTGCCCAGCTTAGAAGAAACTTTTAAGATGGTCAAGTTCAAATCTGTTACTTTTTAGTTAGGAAAAGTCAATCTGGAGAGGTTAAGTGAGTGAAGTTCAAGAGAGTGAAATAGATATGGCTTTAGATACAAAGAAATGACACTCTGAGGGACAAGGCTGGCTGTCCTGGGATTCCAGCCACCATGACGGTGATGTCATATCTTTATCTCTTTCACTGGAGACCAGTGGTCAATGTGTTCATATTGTACATTGGTAATTCCCACATCTACCTATGAAATGAATGCTTATATTATCCCCAGTTGACACCCAAATGAAGAGGTCAAGGCTTAGTAATAAGATTAATATGTGTACTCAGGGCTCCACAGATAGTAGAGAGCCAGGTTTTGATCTCTGGCAACCTGATTCTAGAACCCGTTGCCATAGTGCCGCCTGTGCTGTCCCTTGAATGGTCTTTAGTTAAGGAATATATATATGCATATAGCTTGCTGAGTTCCAGTTGACATAAAGGGCACTTATAATGAATATATCTTTAAAAGGGGGCTGAGCTCAGGGCCTTGCACTTGCTATGCAAGCGCTCTACTACTAAAGTCATGCCTTTAGCCCTTTTGGTTTTTTAGGTTATTTTTCAGATAGGGTCTCATGCTTTTTGCCTAGGCCAGCCTGTGATCCTTATCCTCCTACCTATGCCTCTCACATAGCTGGGACTACAGGTATGTACCACTGTACCTGGCTTATTTGTTGAGATAGGGTCTTGCTAATTTTTTGGTTGTCTAGGCTGGTTTTGAACCACAGTCCTCCTGGTCACTGCCTCCCAAGTAGCTGAGATTATAGGCACAAGCCATCATGCTTGGCCCTAAAAGCTAATCTTCTTAAGAGCAATTTCAGTCACTGAAGAATAAGAAGTAAGATACTGTAAGAGAGAATTCTGATCAAGTTCTGTGCAGAATACTGTAGACAACTCACCTTCTAAACCATAATTTCCAAACATCCCAGTGCCTAGAAAGGACAAAGAGAGCTCCTTTTTTTGTGTGTGACTTCAGGAAAATCATGAGCCACCAACTCACCTATCTTTTTGTTTTTGTTTTTGGGTGTTTTTGGTTGGTTTGTTAAATGAATTTCACTACTCAAATTTCAAAATAAAAAGGATATTAGAATCACCAAGAAGAAAATGATCCAATCAGTGTCCTTTGTCTTCAGCTCAGAAAAAAACCCACCAGAATGCTTCAGAAATGTCACCTTGTTTTCTGAATCCCAGTCCAAAGATAGAGGACTTCCTAAATTTTCGATATCATCGGACAGTTCCTGAGGGAACTGTTGATGTAAAGGTGACTATTGTTGTGATAGGTGACTGATGTTTTGTCCAACCCAGAATAATGAAATTCTTTATTTCTGTTCCTGACACTATGCAGAGGTCAGGGACTATAATCACTGCAGCACTGGGAATGAGGAATATGCATTTAATTTTTTAAAGGTACTTTAAAGTCAGTAATCCAATTTGCTGCTGGTATTTTAGAGAGAAGAATTTAATAAAAAACCCACAATGTTCACATCAACAGTTCCCTTTAAGTCTTCCTGCTCGTTTTGCATCTCTCTACACACCTAACGGAATGCAGCCTGGTATTGCCTTCACACAGCACTTGAGGGAATGCAAGCTCATTACTCAGGGAGAGTACTAAAGGCTGTTTGGACCTTCTCACTTCACGGTGGAATAAAATTAATTAATTTTATCCCAGTAGCCTTCTGTTACATTGGATGATTATGATCTTGAATGTGTACTTCTAGTTTGAGCAGATTCCTGCATTAGGAATTTTTCCACAGAGGATTTTGTTTAGTCTTTGGAAGTGGAGTGGCTTATGTTGTGTTTTTTTCTGAGTAAGCTATTTTTGATCTGGTGAGTAGAAGCCTAGTGGAAATCAGAAGTTCTAAGTTCTGAACTCGGCTTCCTGTTTGAGTCTGTTGCCACAGAGCTGTGCCTTAGTTTTTCTCCCTAGTTGGTGGACATTTCTTTCCTTGTCATAATATGTAACCAACATTATCTTATGATGGGATTGATGCCACTTAGTCCCATTTTACTGGTGGGGAAGCTGAAGTACAGTTAGGT